GCCTCCCAAGTAGCTGGGACCACAGGCGCCCGCCACAACGCCCGGCTATCTTTTGGTTGCAGCCGTCATTGTTGTTTTGGCGGGTCCTGGCTGGGGATTCGAACCCGCCACCTTAGGTGTATGTGGCTGGCGCCTTAGCCGGTTGAGCTACAGGCGCCGAGCCTGCAAAGATTTTCTATTACCAGTTCTGAGAAAATCTATACGATTGAGGTGGTCAGTATAACACCAATTTTGTGAATTGAATAATAATTGCTTTCAATTAGAGTTGTGCTTTCAAACATATTTTTAACCTTCATTTTCACCAAATAGTGTAAAATAACTTTTTACTTATACGCTATTTATCACACTATACATTTTTTTTGAGGCAAAGTCTCACTCTGTTGCTCCAGGCTAGCGTGCCATGGCCTCAGCCTAGTTCACAGCAACCTCAAACTCTTGGGTTCAGGAGATCCTCCTGCCTCCGCCTCCCAAGTAGCTGGGCCTACAGGTACCTGCCACAATGCCTGGTTACTTTTTCTATTTTTAGGAGACACAGGGTCTTGCTCTTGCTCAGATTGGTCTTGAACTCTGGAGTTCAAGCAATCCACCCACCTTGGCCTCCCAGAGTGCTAGTGTTGCAGATGTGAGCCACCACGCCTGGCCAGCCTACACATTTTTTAATCCATTTAACATCATCTTAGGAAATGGTCAGATATTAAAATGCATACAAAATCAATAGTTTTTGCCAACTATCTAGTATGAAATAGTATTCGCTATGAGATTCAGCTATTGGGGAATACTTCATTTTTACTCTGGTAAGTCCTCCTTCATTTTGCCTGATGCAGTCAGTGTTTTCTATTAAAGAACATGAATATATCTACAGCATGCTACATATAATGAATAAGAAGTAGTTTTTAGTGCTGCCGACTTTTTGGTTGCATTTATGTGGAAGCATATTTCTTCTATGTTAAAGCACGTGGGAAAATAGCCTTTAAGTAACAGCTTGAACTGGGCATTGTGGCGGGTGCCTGTAGTCCCAGCTACTTGGCACTCTATGGAGCGTGACAAAGTGAGACTCTGTCTCAAAAAAAAAAAAAAAAAGTAATGGCTTAAAGAAGTATTCAAATTTGGTAAACAAAGGTCACCCCATTTTAGTACCAAGCCTGTATTTGTAAAACTGTTTTGCAATAGCATCATCTCTTTCTGTTTTAGGTGAAATGGAGACAGAAAGCCAGCCCAAGCGACTCTTCCAAGGCACCTCCAATGTGCTGTCTGCGGAGGCTGCAGAGTTATCTGATCTCAGTTCATGGTAAAAAATGAAACAAAATCAAAAGGATGTTAGGGTATAATCCATTTAAAAGGAGCTACATCAGTAGTATTTGGGATAATTTAAAATCTTTTCAACTGTTTATCCATGTTTCCATAGAAGGGAAATCTCCAAGGTATAGATAATATGAAAAGACCGATTATCTGAGAGTCCTGAGTATCTTTTTGGCACCTTCACGTTCATTCCTAGCTCCTATTAGGTCACCCTCTCTGGATTGGTGCTAATGGTGTGGTAAAGTGTCAACAGCTGGATGGTGTGAGAGTCTCTGGGTTGCTGTGGGTAATGTGCACTGATTGTAGCTGCCCTGCATGTGTTTTGTATTAAATCGTTTAGACTTAGCAGAGGACACCAGCATTCTCTTGAGTGTGATATGCCCTGAATAGCATTATCTGTTATAAAATCTTTTTAAAGTTTTTTGTGTATTCCATCACAGTGATAACTAAGGTTTCATTTTTACAGTGATCCTTCCTGATTCTTATGTCTAGTGACACAAATGTATTTTTGTTTTTTTAGTCTTACTCATCCTAGTTTAGATCTCTTAACTTAAGGACCTTCAATGTTTTTGTGGGGAAGTTAATTTCCTTTCCTCTATCTAAAGTTGAGCACTTGGAGGCTGGCATACATATTGGAAGGAAGGGAAAGGGATAGTAGCAGTGCCCAGGTAATATTTTAAAAGATTTCAGTATGTTCTAATCAACTCATTACTGAGTACCCATCTATTAAATCATGTAACGTTTTTCAGAATTTGGGGATCCTTTTGAGTCCCTGCATTTTACGGCTGGGCATCTTTTTTAAAACCCCATGAGGACACTTTACAAATAGCAGGATCACCAGGCCCAGTGATGCACACCTATAGTCCCAGCTGCTTGGGAGGCTGAAGTGGGAGCATCACTTGAGACCAGCAGTTGGAGGCTGCAGTGCAAGTGAATAGCCATTGCACTCCAGCAGGGGCAACATGGTGAGACCCCATCTCAAAAAAACAAAAGCAGCAGGATCATATCCTCTAAATGAAAGATATGAAGAAGCCTATAAGCCACATACAAGGTGGAGGGATTAATTGATGGTTCCTTCTTTCCAAATCACTTATTCATTGTTTTGTGTGAGATAACTTGTAGTTGTAGTCACAGATTATTCTAGTTTATTAGACTTGATCAGCACTTTTATAGCCTTAGAATAGATGTCTTTTAGATTGTTCTGGCTATTTTCAGCTCCACAGTCTCTTTTTTCTCTCATCTCTATCTGTCCTTGGCACTTTAGCACTCCAGTTTTGAGTCAGAGTGCCTTTCCGGGTATGTATATGATTGCAAAGAGAAAACTTCTGAAGCTTTTCAAGAGGACTAGTGGATGAAACACTCTACTTAGTGGAAATTGCATATCACTTTTTTTATGGTAAAGTGTGTTTTAACATAGGCATACAAGGTTGGACAATTAAGTTTGCAAACTCATCCTAAAAAAAGTGCTATGTACCTCATTGCTGAATATCACTAGAGTCTCCTTCGAGGTACTCCCCTTAGAAGCTATGCACTGATGCCAGTGCCTAGTCCACCCTTCAAAGCAATTTTGGAACTATTTTTCAGGAATGTTCATCAGAGCTGTCATGGTACGACACACAAAAGCATACAACAACAATAATGAAGACTTTATTTGAAGCTACTCAGTGTACTAACAAGCCAACATAGGGCTCACATAATCTGAAGAAGACATCTGCTACTCAAAAGTCAAAGATAGTTTAGTACTGAGATGTTCAAATAATGTTTTTAGTCAATAGCATTTGTACTTCTGAGGTTATTAAAGCTTAAAATTGCGCTAAGACTTTGGGGTACCCTATGTACTAGTGATGCTGACATTTTTGTCTATAGGTAAGAGATTTTAAATATAAGCTATTCCTTTTATGTAAAAATTGGATGCTGCTTTTGCAGAATCTTTTCTTCTATGTCTTTTTTTTTTTTTTTTTTTGGTGGAGGGAGACAGTGTCTCTCTTGCCTAGGCTAGAGTGTAGTGGTGTCATCATAGCTCTCTGCAACCTCAAACTCCTGGGTTCAAGTAATCCTCCTGCCTCAGCCTCCCCAATATCTGGGACTATAGGCTTGTGCCACCATGCCAGCTAATTTTTTTCTATTTTTTTTTTGTAGAGATAGGGTCTCAAACTCCTAGGCATAAGTGAGCCTCTTGTCGTGGCCTCCCAAAGTGCTACGGTTACAGGTGTAAGCCACCACACTCAGTCTTCTATTTCTATACTGTAGTTTCATTATCAGAATGACATATCCATATTCTAAGAAATGGGGACAGGGATAGGAACCAGCTGCATTCTGGATGGCAATCTATTTGATAACTAAAGAAACAATTTCTTTGCTACGTTTTAGAGAGTAGAGAAAGGATCAGATCGTTAGTAGACATTATTTCATCATTTAAATCTTTATAGTTTGTTTCCTACCCCACCCCACAAAGAAAAAGAAAATACGAGTTTTATAACCCTTTAATTAAAGTTTATATTTAGATAATAGCCTTTTAAATTCGACATCTTTGAAGTATAATTGAAATTTGAAATGTTACTACTGACCCATTTGGAGTTTATGTCCAGTTAGGCATACTTTTTCTTTCTTTTTTTTTTTAACTAAATGAATATTCTGACATCTTTGCCAACCAAATCTGGGGAAGATCATCACCCACAAGGCAGAAAAATAGGACATTTCTTTCTTTTTTTTTTGGAGACGGAGCCTCAAGCTATCCCCCTGGGTAGAGTGCTATGGCATCATAGCTCATAGCAACCTCCAACTCCTGGGCTCAAGCGAGTCTCCTGCCTCAGCTTCCCAAGTAGCTGGGACCACAGGTGCCCACCACAACACCCGGCTATTTTTTGGTTGCAGCCTTCATTGTTGTTTTGGTGGGCCTGGGCTGGATTCGAACCTGCCACCTTAGGTGTATGTGGCTGGCACCTTAGCCACTTGAGCCACAGGCGCCAAGCCGAAAATAGGACATTTCTGCATTTAGTCCTTATTAACACCAAGAGTTGGCATGTAACTCACAAGTACACCTTTGCATGGTGCTTTGTTTGTTTCTGCATGTCGGGAACTCTTAACTCTGCTGCTTATTCTGCTGGCAATATAACTGCATGCATCTGCCGTGTGCTATGTAAAGTAAAGGCGTCTTCACTGGCTGTTCAGTGAAGATTAAGTGATAGTCCATTTCTTCTACATAAAAGGAAAAACTCTCCATGAATTTTCTTACACAGTGCATCAGTGTTAGTGTGATGGGGTCTGTTTTCACACCCCGTCATTAGATTTATCTTAGGGATTCAAACATTATTTTAATGTATGTGTTGTAGCAAAATTTCATTGTGAATATGTGACAGGTCTAAAAACTAAGTTTAAGTAGAAAGCAACAGACTCGTTTGTTCTGAAGAGAAGCCAGAGCATTAAAAAACAAGTTTTAATCTTGATTCATTTCATAAATAACCGGAGTGTGTATATATACCTTAGAGATGTTTATACGAGCAGCTTAGACATCTGCTGATACTTTAAAACTCCTATCTGCAACATGACTGTGGAAATGACCACATTTAAATAGGTGGTCTCAAAACAAAAAGATAAAAAATAAATAAAAAAGAAGAAGAAGAAACACAAAAATAATAAGACCAAAAAGAGAAATAAAAGAAATGAGAAGCAAAAAAGTAATTAAAAAGAAAGGAAAATAAATAAATACATGGTCTTACAAACTTAAAAGATAATTAAGTAAGATAATAAGGCAAGATAGTAGAGACCAGAGAACATACCATATGTATCAGTTTAGTCCACGAACGGGGGTGTGGGAATATCCGGTAGTCAGTTATACTAAAATCTAAGTATGTACCTATACTTGAAAGGGCTGCAGCTAATTTCTGGCACATTTACATGCCTACCATTAATCTGATAGAACCCAGCTTATTGGCCAGACAAAGCACAAAGTGGGTCAGCAGGTGATGCCATGACATCCCTGTTTTGTTGTTACTTTATCATTGGAATATTTTAATGATTCGCTTATATTTTCACCCTTAGTTTTTCTGGATAGAGGGTGCTACTTTAAGTCATAAGTACTTTTGGTTGCATGGTTCAAATATTGCTTCAATATGTATATTCAGTGGCTGGAGTAAATTCGCTCAGTTTTGATTCAGGTACTTAAGTGTTTAATTTGAATTGCCTCTGTCTTTTGATTTTTTACTGGTGTCTGGCTTTCAGCCATCAGTATAAGTAAGGCTCATTAGCACCTCCCTCAGAGCTTTAAGCGAGGAAAGGAAGAAGAAAGAAACCCAAATTGGACTGGGCTTTGTTGCTTTTAGAAGCTCTAGTAGAAGATTTAATATAGGACACTGTGAAAATTACTTTTGTACAGTGATCTCTCTGTGGATTAAAAAATCACCTAAGTCTTGATTAATATGGATATAATAACAATGAGTGATTTGTGACCTGTAGTCTCTATTTCCATGACCACATGTAGTCATGCCAGGTTAATTTGAACAGAAACTAGATTTTAGTTTAGTGAAAGTGTATGGTTAAAGGTTTACCAAGTTCTGACTCTAAATTGCAGTGGAAATTAGATGTGAGTATGCTATTTTTCTGTTATGAACAAAATTGTATACGTTTTTATTTTATAAATAGAGAAGACATTCTGAAATGAAATATTTATTTTTTTCTCATTTTCTTGGTAACTTTTCCTTTAGCTTATTTCTCTAAAGGTTCTCTAAACACGTTAGAAGAGCAGTTTTCACGGCACGAGTCATGTTTTGTGCATTCGAATGAATACAGGATTCACCCCCTACAAGCAGGTCTTTTTACAAATGGAATCTTTTAACCGAGGGCTCAGCATAAGTCTGGTGGTTGGAATAAGGAATTTTTTATTTCGATTCAGATTATCTGCTTGGTAGCCAAATTTTAATCTAAGCCTGTTTCTTCCTGCCAAGTAACATAGAGCATGTCCTTCAGCTGCCTGGCCAATATGTGCTTTAGGAAAGTAAATTCATTTTAATATTAGTCTAGGCAAAAAGCTACAGGAGGAAAAATCACATATGTTCCAAAGGCAAATAGAAAGGTCTTTTGATTTTCCAATGTCTTGGATTATCTGTGCAACTTTCTTTCAGTAGTTTGAATAATTCATATTTTAGACCCATTTTGCCTTTTGGTTGAAAAAATATCAGAGCCAGCTAAATTTTCCGAACTTGTAACTTAAAAGTAGAATTATTAATGATGCATTTGACAGCAGTGAGCATAGAGTAGGAGTAGTGTGGAATATACTGTTTCCATTTTTATTTTTACTTTTCCAAAGCCTATTTGTAGTCTGTCTCCACCTAAATACAATCCACAGGCGATAGAACAAGATGCCGTTTTGAAGAAAAAGAGAAGAGTAGAGAAGCAGAGTTGGGGGGATGGGACATATTTCACTGAGGGTGGTATAGGGCCCCGAAACTTCCACATGCACCATAAGTTACTTCATGATGGTAATATGTTAACTTGTAAATTCATAAAAATGATAATATTAAAGATTCATGACATTTCAGCTTGAAACACCTTAGACCAGAATGGCCTTTTGCAAAGGAGCTAGTGACCAAACTTAATCTAGAATCCATGTTTTCTGATTCATAACTGTTTCTCCAATCCTATGCTATTTTTCCTTTTCATAAATAAGAAATATATCTGTGTAAATTCTAAAACTGCCGACCTCTTCAGCTTTTCCCTTGCTGTATTCTCTTTACTCTTTGTATCACAGCCACATCAGACACTAGTCTGTTTTTGGTTCCTAGAACTACCATTGCTTCCTCCCAAACTTGACCTACTTGGTGCCTACTCATCCTTCAGGTTAGAGCACAGATACCACTCTGGGGAGCCTTTCCCTCTTATGCCAGATTATATCAGGTTACCCATGTTAAATACTCTCGTAGCCCCCTGTAGCTTTCCTTTATTATGGCAAATTATAATTAGATATTTATTAGCATCATTATTTAAATGCATGTTTTCATGATACTGTAGTGAGGGCAGGGACCATGTCTAGGTTAAACACCATTATATTTCTAATATCTAGCCTACTTCCCACACTTAGCAGGCACTCAGTAAGTATTAGAATAAGTGAAGGAGTGAATTCAGGGGAAATATAGAGTTTATATTTTGGATTGATGGAAAATCAAAGCCAGGAAGACAGCTTGATGCCAAATTGCGAAGGTTCTCAGTTCCATGCTGAAGTATGAAGCCAGATTTATGAGGCAGGCCAGATTGATTGTTGGGAGCAGTGAGCACCTGGGCTGGATGGGGACTGTTTCCCTGGGCTGGGTATAGAGGTTCTTGATGCCCAGAGGAGGAGTTTTAGTGGAGGGATGAGGGCAGGAGCCAGTTGTCAGGGTTTAGAGGCCATGGACTTAGAGGATATTGAGACTATGGATTTAGATTATTCATTTTAGAAGTTTACCTGGAGAATAACTGAAAGGAACAAAGAAAAGGCGTCTTAGAGATAGCAGGAAAACCTTTGGGTTTTGAAAGCAAAAGGAAAGGAAACAGTGTAAGGAATTTATAAACTGAGGAGAATATAAAAGGCATATAATTGGAGGGGGAAATCATTAAAAAATGTGTTGGAATTGAAGATCCTTTGGGAGTGGGGAAGTGGTTGACTTTAGGACGGTTGAAAGACTGTTTTAGAGTAGAGGAACTATCGAGTAGTTAATATTTCAGACAGTCCAAGGATAGTTACATCAATGAGTAATCATTCTTCTTACTCTAAGCCTGGTGGGAAGGTAAGAAGAGAAATAGGAAGGTAGAAATGTCTTGAGCTGGAAGGAGGAAAGTTCCTCATGGAAACTGGTTCCTCCAGGGGGGGCACTCAAATGATCCAAGACCATGAGAATCTTACTTTGGATTTCTGTAACTTTATGATTTGGCAGGTATCTGAATAGTATATTACATAGTTCATTGCTGTTGCTTTTGTGCTTTTTATTATTTACAAGTGCTGTACTGATTTGTGAGTTCTTGAAACTATGTCGTTGCATGTTATGTTTACCCTTATAGATGCATTTGCTTATAATTCTTTTTGCTTTGTCCTCAGTTCAGATATTTTGGATGGCAGTAGTAGCAGCAGCTTGTCCTCAGACTCACTGGCTAAAGGCAGCGCTCCCGCAGAGTCTCCAGGAGCATGCTCCAATCCATGCTCTCCGCTCATCTTGATGGATGATCTCTCACCCAATTGATTAGTCATTTCTGATTCAGCGTTTAAACTGCTGTTCCTACATAAAATGTTTAGTGAGGCACGCAGAGAACTTTGATCCATAATGAGGATTAAAGTTTGGCAGATTTCAGCTATCCCGATGCTGTTAACTTTTTTTGGCATCTCTCTTTCTCTAAAGTTCAATTTTGCAATTGTAGTTAGACCTTATTAACTTCTATTTTTGGTAATCTGATTTTGAATTTAGTGGCTAAATCTCAAATACTTATTTTTGATTGCTTAGAGGATTTTTTTTTATTAGTGCCTCAAAGAGCACCTATTTTAAGCCTATGCATTCAAAGAAGGCCCTGATATATATTCTCTATCCTGGTTCTTTCCTCCAGCAGTCATATGACAGAATTGATCAGAAATTCTCTTGCTTGAGAGATTTGTTTTTGTTGTTCTCAGTTGACTACATAGTTTCAAATCTCGTTATCTCATAGTTATATACAAATTGCTTTGGGTTATATTAAATTTTTATTTTTCTGCATCAGCTTCAAGTACATTGTTTCATTTCCCTTTCCTGTTTGAGCTGCTCATGCCATTTCTCACAGAGGGGAAGAAACACAGTTGCTTTCCTTACTACCCTTTTTGCTTCTTTGCTGTTGGAATGTGTGAAGTGAGGATTGATTTTGTGCTAAGAATGTAAATGGATTTACAGGATGCCCAGATTAGTCACCACAGGTTCTTATGACTTTGCTAGCATAGTTGATATTCCCCCCCAAAAAAACCTGTTGCCTTAAGGAATATATAAAATATTATTGATATTTCTAGGTGGTGTTATCAAGGAGAAGAAATTCCTGCCTTGACCAGATGTGTGGAGCATCTACAAATGAATGAATAATGTTGTTAACATACAAACCACTGTGTACTAAAGCGTCCATGGAGCTGTCAGTATCTCGGGTGGTATTATGAGGCCTCAGGTGCCTTGGGGTACATTGTCGTGCTGTGAGGGATGTTTATCATAAGGTAGGGTGACAGAGGGGCCTTTAATGTGTGTCATTGCCACATACCATTTTGGTTGCTGCCTTTTTTTGATTCCATTTTGTCATTGCATTTGTTTGTTCTGTCGTGTGGTAATTGGTGTTTTGGTTATTGCATTGCCACCAGAATCAGAATCCAGTTCTTGTTCATACTGCCTTATAGTAAAGAGCAGTTTAATATGTATGAGGATGCTTTTAGGAGCTGAAAAAGTCAATGTTATAGTGCATTCTGCTTTTAAGAAGTTGTGTGAGCTATGAGCAGTGTATGTGCTAGTAAGTGTGAGCACTGTAAGGTATTTAGTTTTGCAAAGAGAAAACTCCTGACTGAGCTAGTTTAGAAATCTGAGTGTAGTCCATTGTTGTGTTCTTTATAATTTATAACTGTATGAAATGTCTGTCGTGAGATATTTCTCTTAATGTTCAGATGTAGCAGTTGGATTGCCTGTATTTAATGTGCAAATTTGCCTGCTAAGATCATAATATTCCATTCTCGAATGTAAGAAATGAAAACTGCATTTGTGTCTTTTGAAGGCAAAAATCCTTGGATTTTAAAGGAAGATGATGTGTTTTGAAGGTACTCACAGACTAGTAATAGTATATGGCTTGAAGGGAAACCTATTCTCTTATAATGACTAACAAGGGAGCATCACTTAGCTTGCAGTAGTGCTGTTATCACATCAGATGTGTTCTTTATTTTAAAATGTAATCATAAACAGCCATTAATGGCTTTATTTCTTGTATTGCTCTTAACTGTGCAAATCCCATTATCCTTCAAACCTAACATAAATGTATCTATTATGAAGCTTGTCCCCATGTTGGCCATTATAAAGAAAATTTCTCTGATGGTATTTAGTGTCTCTACTGTGCTTATAAAGATCCTTGTTGAAATATTGCCGCCTCTATAATGATAATAGATGGTTTTGTCTTACAGGAGATTTATCCACCTTTCCTCTACTGTCTACTTTGCCTTAAAGGGACACTTTTGGCCATCATTTCTAGGCTATGATTTAGAACTGTTCAGAAAGAACTTTGAGATATGATATTTAAATTTGTTTTTGAAATTCAGTAGAGGGGTAGAACTGGAGCAGGAAATTGAAATTGTTCTGATGGTATGAGAACTAAGAGGTAAAATGATTCACTTTACTCTTTCAATCAAGGTTTGCGTTTAGTTTTTAGTGTTCATATGGACTAGAAAGTTAAGTTTGCGCAGGGATTGTTTTTCAATAAGTAAAAGATACACTAACTCGTAGATTACCTTTGTTGATGGTACCGCTTTATTTTTATATAGAGACTAATATTTGAAAAGAGATCATTGCTATACACTAAAATTCTCTCTTCCTATTCTAATATTATATCCTTTATTTCAGGCTTCTATTTGCAAACAAGTATAAGAGATGATACAATAAGCAAATCCTGTAGATACAACTGTTTTTGCTTGATCAACTTATATAATCACTATATTTCATGATAACTGCTTTTGGAATAATAGAAAGTTTTGTGAAATGCCAGCCTTATGTAGAATGCAAATTTAATAAAGTGTGTACATGCATAAAATTTATACGTGTTTTAAAAGTCTATTTTTTTATTCTTACTGATAATTATTTTCTGCTTCCATATCCCAGTAGTTCATTCTCTGTGTCTAATTACAGGTCAAGTTTCGAAAGAAAGGCTGTCAGCAACATATAAGAACCAATAGCTATATTAAAGTTTGGGCTATTTCCCAAAACAAAGAGAAACCTCTCCATATAACCTGTCAAATTTTCAAGAGTATTTTGTACAGTTTCACAATGTAGAAGTTTCCTTTTCACCAATCCAGCACTTGAATGTTAAAAAAAAAAAAAAAAGTTCTTGCCAGGGTCACACATCTTGCTTGCTTGTTTTTAGTTTATCTTGTTATATTTTTACATATTTATAAGCCTCTATAAAGTATTTTGAGAACAAGATGGGGGGTGGGTAAACAAGCAAAAATCCTTTTATATGTAACTTAGGTTATCGATTTTATTTTCCATTAAAAATAATATGAATTACTTCAACTTCACACTTTGAAATAATTTCAAACCTAGGAAAGCATTGCAATAGCCCAAAGAACACTTATATAGCCTTCACCCAGGTTCCCCAGTTGTTAACATTTAACCACATTTGCTTTGACTTTTTTTTTCTCTCTCTCTCTCTTTCTCACACACGTATACATTTTTTCTGAACCATCTGAGAATGAGTTGCAGATATGGTACCCCATTGCCCTTACCTGGTTCAGTATAAAGTTCCTAAGGAAGTTCTACATAACCGCATTATGATGATCAAAATCAGGAAATTAACTTTGATACAAAACTGCCAACTCATCTACAGCCTATGGTGCTAATAATGCTATGGCAGCAAAAAAAAAAAACAAAAAAAAACACATTTTTTTTCTTCTGGTCCAGGAGTCAATCCAGGCATTATGTGTTTTAAGTCTCTCTCAATCTGAAAGTCCCCCAGTCTTTTTTTTTTTTTTTGAGACAGGGTCTCACTATGTCACCCTCAGCAGAGTGCTGTGGTGTCATAGCTCACAGCAACCTCAAACGCTTGCCTCAGCCTCCCAAGTAGCTGGGACTACAGGCACCTGCCACAATGCCCAACAACTATTTTGTTGTTGTTATAGTTGTCATTGTTTAGCAGGCCCAGGATGGGTTCGAACCCACCAGCCTCAGTGTGTGTGGCCGGTGCCCTAACCACTGAGAAATAAGTGCCGAGCCAGGAAGTCCCTCAGTCCTTTGGTAACCCTCATAACTTTGATAAGTACTAGTCAGTGATTTTGAAAGATGTCTCTCAATATGGGTTTGGACTGTTGTTTCCTTGGGATTAAATTCAGGTTATGCATTTGGACACAACCTACAGAAGTGATGCTGCGTTCTCCGTGTATCATTTTAGGAGGCATATGGAGTCCCTTTGTCCTGTTATTAGTGATGGTAACCTTGATCCCTTGGTTAAGGTGCTATCTACCATGTTTCTCCACTGTATGTTAGTCTATCTGTCGTTGAAATTAAAGCATTTTATGTGGAGATACTTTGAGACTATATAAATACTCTGTCTTCTCATCAGACTTTCATCTACTTAGTATTCATTGATCTTTCTAGCCTGATGGTATTAGGATATCACCTAATGGTGCCTAATCCCATCATTTACTTAACATTCATTCGTTAGTATTCTGCTATAAAGAACTTTCTTTTCTCCATTTATTTGCATCAGTGTGGACTCACAGACTCCTGGTTTGGTCAATGAGTTTTAATCCACCACCAGAAGTGTTTTGATATTCAGGTTATCTCAGATTCGGGCAGTGAGAGCTCCTCCAAGCTTACGCCTATGTCTGTTTGATAAATCCCTATCATTTGGGGGCAGTGTTTTTGCTTTCTGGCACAAGATATCCCAGATTTGTAGTTTCCTTACCCCAGCCCCTGTGATCAGCCATTTCTCTAAGGCAGTGTTGTTTTTCAACCTTGTTTATCTCATGGCACACATGAACCTATAAACTTCTGCGGCCCACTTAAACTATGTTGAGCAATAAAACAGTGAAAAGGAATATACTTACTATGCTTTGAGCTTCTGTTGAAAATAATTTAATTAATGATCTTTAAAAATTATCGAGGCACACCTAAGCTCTTCTCATAGCACACTAGTGTGCTGAGTCATATCAGTTGAAAAATCACTGCTCTAAGGTGCCCTGAATCTTTTTAATAGAGAACAGTATTTTAAAACTAAGGAATGGGCACTAGGTATGATCATTGCTACCGGGGTATTATTGTTTAAAGGCCTTCTCAGAGCACAGAGAAAACACATATGTGTGTATGTGTATACCATGTAAATGTGTATATGTCCACATATACACACATACTCACTTATCTATTAAAATCATGAGTTCAGACTATACTTCTGATTCCAGTTCAACACCACAGAGTTCACTACGGTGTCTACACTATCCATATTTGTAACTATTTTCTCTCATCCTTTTACTAACCAGGCCTAACCCTACTTTGTAACTCCATTCTCTTAGAAACCTGGCTCCCTTTATCTCTGTATAATTACTCCTTTCTCCTGTGTATAACCAATCTCCTGCCCTGCCAGCTGCCACCCTAGCTCCCCGCTCAGCCCTAGCTTTTTTCTTGGCTCCAACCCTGATGCCCCACCAGCCCTGGCTGCCTACACAGAAGGAAGGGAAGAGGGTCTAAGTACTTGTGTTTTAAATACCCTGGTTCACATGCTTTTCTGTGTTTAACTGTTCATAGCTCAGGAATTTTTAAAAATAGAATCACACTCTGTCACCCAGGCTGGAGTGCAGTAGCATCATCATAGTTCACTGCAACCTCAAAATCCTGGGCTCAAGCAATCCTCCTGCCTCAGCCTTTCAAGTAGCTGTGATTACAGACATACAAAACAGTGCCCAGCTAATTTTTCTATTTTTTGTACAGATTGCGGGGGGGGGTCCTCGCTCTTGTGCAGGCTGGTCTTGAACTCCTGACCTCAAGCAATCCTCCTGCCTTGGCCTCCCAGAGTGCTAGGATTACAGACATGAGACACCATTCCCAGCCCCAGGAATTTCTTATATTCCTTAATTTAACAAGTATTTATTGAGCCCTGTGCTGGGAACTGTAAATGCAGATTAAATTCAAGACTTAAAAGAAACCAGCAGAGTGCAATAAACAGAAGTTCACCAACCATTGGAAACACTGATTGGAATGTGCTGGGGAGCACAAAGGGAGGGCACCCAACATAGCCTGGGCTGTGGTTCTAGAGTGTGTCCTAGAAGAGGTACCACTGAAGCTGAATCTTGAAGAACAAACCTGGGATGGAGGTAGGGATCAAGTAGAGGGAAAAGGATACAGGCAAGAGGAGACCAAGGCACCATTATGAAAATACTAATAATTTGCTAATATAGGAAATGAGACTGGAGAGGAAAATAGAGACCTCATCTGGTCTTTTGGGATCTGGGAGTCTTTAGCTTATGTAGGTGAAAGCAATGGGTACAGACAAAAACAGATCATCTGAGGAAGCAGTTTAGGGACAAAATCCTTAAAAGCATCAACATTTAAGAGGCAGGCTGAAAAAGAGATGGTGTAGATTTCTGAGGTGGCCCAGAAAAAGCAGCTAATAATATCAGCAATGTTAAGGAGGGAGCACTCTACAGGGTCAATTAAAATGACTGAAAAATCTCAAAATTTCCCATTGGGCCTGGAAGTGAGGAGGTCCCTAGAGACTTGTGTTAGTGCACTTTCAGGGAAGTGGGAGAGGCAAAAGATTAATTGCAGTGGCTTGAAAAAAGGGGAGATTAGGAAATGGAGGCAAGGAATATAGACCATAGGCAATGTCCAACATTTTCCAATTTCCTCCTTCATTTTCTTTCCCAGTCTTTACTCACACAGCCACATCTTTCCAGTTTGCTCCTTCTGTGTCCTGAGCGGCTAGCACCCTATCTGAAATGCAGTAGTCCATACAATTTTATGGAACAATTAACCCCACATTCTGAGCTGAAAGAAAGTCGTTTTAACCTCTAGGGGGGAGCTAAAAGGAAGTCATTCTAACTTCTAGGAGCTAAAAGAAAATCACTCCTACCTCTAGGGGGCGCTGAAAGAGTCATTTTAACCTCTAGGGGGTGCTGAAAATCATGAAAATCTATGGGGAGGGGGCTAAAAAAAAATCAGAGGGCAGTGTTAACCCGTAGGAGGAGCTGAAGAAAATCTCTGAGGGGGAAATGTCAACCACACACTCTCATCTCTGGAAGGAGCATCAAGCTTCTTGTATTTCCAGATGTTTCTGAGCAAAATTTGCTTGAGGACTCTTCGTGAAGGAGTACCATCCCTTGGTAATCTTTATCAATCTACCTAATATGTACCTTCTATTTGCGGCATGTGATGCTGATGTTGGGTTTATGCCATTGATAAGAAGTTTTCTGTTGAAATAACCATGGCAAATAATATTTTTAAATGCATATAGTTTAAAAATAAACAAAGAAAAAGTGAAGCAATTGAAAGAAATTTCTTAATAGCATAGCATGAGTGAAAGATAGCTAGATATGGCCTTAAAGTAGACATAAAAACTTTGATCCATGAAAGTATTGGGTCATGGTGCTCTGTGGGTCTGCCAGCAGGAAGATATTTAAAGCTGTTGAATCTGTGTGGGATGCTCTTTTGGGGTTCTTCTTTGGATTCTCTCTTTGGGGGAGGCTGCACTTTCTTGTCTTGTGAAGCATGGTGAGAGAGATGCGGTATCTCTCTTTTGGCTTCTAAGAAGACGCCCTCTTTCCTCTCATCTGGAAGGTCAAAGAGAACTTAGAGCTGAGGGAAAAGGGATTTAAAGAGCACTTCAGGCCTGGTTTGTTACTTATCACTTCTCACTAGAGGAATGGTTAGAACTCCAGAGCAAAGGTCAGAATGTAGCAGCCCTCAGAGAAAGAAGCTTCTAGTCTGGGTCACTGAAGCCTGCCTACTCTGGGCAGAAAGAATTTTTAGTCTAATTCCTGTGCTGACTACACTGAAGTCTTAGGAGAAAGCCCTAGCTAGTGAAGTGT